AAAATTCTAATATAAGCTTGTTCATAATAAACATCTTTTTATCATGTTTGCTCCACTTGGATTTCTCCAACATGGGCACAAAATAAGCACAATCAATGATTTCCCATAAATTGATATTTTTAGATTGAACAAATATTTTGAATCTAAAGCACCATTGAGCATAGGGAAAAACATTGAATTTAGGAGCAACACTAGAATCATAGCCTAAACAAGATGCATCATTCATATCCATAATTTATAAAAATATGCAAGCAAGATACAAATATAATCAAAACAAGATTAGCACAAAGAGATAACTTGGATCTTTAACTCAAGGCGATTAGACCTTAAATCAAAGAGCACCAAGCTCTGATACCAATTGTTAGACCCTAGAGGGGGGGTGATTAGGGTCTTATGCTAATCTAATCCGATTTAAGTGCCAATTAAAATTAATTAACAAGTATATTCTTGCAAGATAGATATAAAAGAGTTATGTGCAAGAATAAGCAATATGAACAAAGGTAAATATCCTAGCAAAGAGATATACTATGAGATATATGCAAGGATATATAAACAACACAAGGGTAAACAATATGAACTAAATAGTGGATCATATAATTAATGAGCTATGGCCAATGGCGATATAAGATATGAACATAAATATAAATGAACGCCAAAGCACACTCAAACAAGCAATATGATCACGGAGTTCGGACCTTCCGTCCTACGTCTCCGCTCCCCACTCCCGGGGAGAAATCCACTAACACAACCGGGTTTTCTACGTTCACCCGAAAATCAAAGAGCACCAAGCTCTGATACCAATTGTTAGACCCTAGAGGGGGGGTGATTAGGGTCTTATGCTAATCTAATCCGATTATATGCTAATTAAAATTAATTAACAAGTTATCCTAGCAAGTATGAAATACAACAAGATATATGAGCTAGGATAAGCAATATGAATAATGAGATATATCCTATATGATGAACTATATATGCAAGGATATATAAACACAAGGGTAAACAATGTAAACAAGATAGTGGATGATATAGATAATGAGCTAATGACAATGGCGATATAAGATATGAACATAAATATGAAAGAACGCCAAAGCACACTCAAAACAAGCAATATGATCACGGAGTTCGGACCTTCCGTCCTACGTCTCCGCTCCCCACTCCCGGGGAGAAATCCACTATCACAACCGGGTTTTCTACGCTCACCCGAATAACGTTTACACCTCACAGTGTCGGTTTTCAACGCTCACCGAACAACGTTCACTCCTCACACTCGGTTTTCTAGTTCACCGAAAACTTCACAACACACTCGGTTTTCTAGCTCACCGAAAACCTTACACCACTCACAATGTAACAAATATAAATTTGTTCTCTACAATAGATGAGAACACAATTAAGCACAACTCAATGTTACAATCTCTCACAACCCTAATATACTATGTATGCAAATACAATAAGCTCAAGTGGGTGTGTGTAACAATGAGATAATATAATCAAATCTAAACTCAATATAAAAACTAGCTTTAAAGAATGATAATCAAATAACTAAGCAAATGTAAAGCTAGATAGAGTTTAGAAAACTTCTCCAATAGATGATAAGATGGAGAGATGGAGATTGGAGCCCAAATAAGAATATGATCTCCTCCACTTGTGAAAACAATCTTCAAACCAAACAAACACTAAAACACACTTAAACCCTTGTTTAAAACTCTTTAAACTTGTTTAAAACATTTCTTGAGTACCCTTAGAAGTATGATGTCATGGAATATATATAGGCTCATGAAACAAGCCCAAAAACCCAAGAAAACCAAGCAAAAAGATAAAATAACGGATATATCAAAATCTGGAAAATATAGCCGTTGTGCTACAGTAACCACGTCCAGAGAGTTTGGCGGTCGACCGTACCGGTCGACCGCTGGTACTGTAGCACTACGTTTCAGTTTTGTAAAATCAATTAAAAATAGTAAAACAGCTCCAAAAAATATGAAATTTTGTGGGAATGTTATAGACATGTAGAATAATATTTAGAGAAAGAATTTCTGAAAAATCATTTCCCAGTTGAGAGAAATAAATGTTTCAACACAGATTTACAGTTTCTGAAAAACTGCTGATCAACATACGCGATTTTGTAAAATCAATTGGGCACAGTAAATCAACTCCAAAAATAGTAAAATTTTGAGGAAAGTTTCTAAACATGTAGATAAACATGTCAAAGAAAGAATTTTTTAAATATCACTTCCCATTTATAAAAACTCTTCTGTTTTGTAAAACATGCACGAACATGTGCACAAACAAAAACATGATTTTGTAAATTCCATTAAACATAACAAATCATTTCCAAACTTGATGAAACTTTGCAAAATGTTTATAAACATGAAAACAAACATGTTACAAAAATAAATTTTCATTTTTCATTTTTCAATTGTGAAAACTCATTATTTTGTAAAAACATGCATGAATATGAATTTGTTAAGAACATGTTTTTGACAAAAAGAGTTTAAACGCATATTGAAACTTTATGAAATGTCTCCATAAACATTATAACACATGAATATAAAGTAAACATGGTCAATAAAACAATATCATAAAGTTTTCTCAAAATAGCTAATTTTGTGAGAAAATCCAATATTGTGTGTGTATATGATATTGAGCTTAGAGTATTAAACACACATAATATAAACCTATACTAAATATACCCAAGCTTGATGAAGGTCTTCAATGAGCATGACTTGGTAAACTTTGCGGAAGAAGTTTGTAATTGGATCTTTAACTTGAATTGACGTTGCTTCACTCCACAATTCCGCCAACCTCCATTTGATATGATCGTTAAGGCTCGATTCCATCCATCCTCCAACTAGTTGTTTGTCTACAATGAATAGATAACACAAGCACTAGACAAACAACATTAGTTATAAATTGTTTGTTAAACATCATCAAAAAAAGAAGGCCAACAATAGGTTCACAAAACAAAGCCTAAAAACCCAAGAAAAAAAAAACAAAATCCCCAAAAACCCGAACTCTAGAAATATGACCATTACAGTACATTTGGTCGACTGGTTGACCATGGCCAGTCGACCGACAATATGATCGTTGGCAGACTAAAACAATCCAGGCTCAATCGGTCGACCGACAATGTTGTATCGGTCGACTGATACTATGCCATCGGTCGACCGATAATTGTGTGTCGGTCGACTAATGAGTGATTTGTTTGTAGGGTCTGTAAACAGACCTTCTGGCCGGTCGATCGAACTCTGATACATTCCAGACACTGGTTTTTAGTGAGAATCTGTGTATGTAAATTTGGTTTAAAATAACAAATAAACTCCAAAAATAATAAAAATTTGGGGAATGATTATAAACATGAAAAAAATATGTTTGAAAAGAAAATTTTAAAATCTCATTTAGCGTTTGTGAAATCTCACTAATTTGTAAAATCGTCGAAAATATGATATCTCAAAAACACATGATAAATATATATTTTGCTGGATCAGTTGCAGGTCTCATGTAGTTTAGAAGCATTCTACAAAAGGGAGTTGAATAAAAAGCATTCTACAAAAGAAAACCTCTCATAAATACTCATAAGCCTGTTTGCATTATCCTTAATCATCCATGCAACCACATAATCTGTCATAATAGATCATCACAGATAAACAACAATAGATACTGCGGAAGGTAAATGCCAATATCTCAATGAAACATAATACAAGATTAAGACATTGAAAGACTAATAATTCAGCTGGCAGGCCATCAAACTAAATGACATCTCTAGCTAGCTAGGAATAGTATAGGAACTACAATCTCACGAGGAAATACTAAAAACCAATGCTGCATGGCTATCTAATTGCGAACAACTTTCTTGTTCAGATAGGCATGATCGGCATCTGTAAGAGTATTTTCCTTACCTCGCACACAAGTCCAAAAAACCGAGAGGTGATGCTCTGAAATGTGTAGAGGCTACTGATATCGGGTTGATTTGGAACGGAGAGGCCCCTGCTTTTACTGTTGCTGCTGCTCTCGAGGGATTGGTAACATAAACCTACTTTGACTTTGTCCGTGTACGTAGTAATTGCATCGCTCTTGCAACGAACCGAACAATTATTTCTCCAGCTATAGTCGACTTGCAAATTAATACATATCTTTAGAGGAAAATATTAGGATGCACGTATTGCAACTGTTAAAATAATTAAAAGCTTGCTAATGGAACTATCCAATTATATATGTCAAAATGATGAGTCTCAATGGTCGGATAGCCTTTTTTTTTTTTTTGAAGGATTTCGCAAACCATTGTCCAAGGACAATGATTAAAGAAGAGAGAAACAGAGACAAAAAGAAAGGAGCTAGAGAACATAGACCCCACTCATGCATCCTCACTTCTTGCTTCAACTCTCTTCATTAGCCATTATCCTTAGAGCAATCTCTTTCCTTAACATGACAGTAAAGAAAGCTCATAATATATATAGTTTTCTATATTTCATTTGAAAATAATAAAGGAGAGTGAATATAGGTATAAATGCTAATTACTTATTGTTCCCATCCCTAGAAGAATGGTTATCCCTTCAAGAAATAAACGGTAACAAGGAACTGGCCATCACCAACCGACTGCTCCAAGGACAAAGTTTCCTAAATATGATAGTTATCCTACAACCACAACCGACCCTCTCCGTGATTGGCACGTGCGGAACAAGTGGTCTTTGTTGGTTTGCTTGTTTGCTTCTCCCTTTTGAAAGAAAGTTGACCCCTCTCTCTCATAGTTCTTTCCTCTTTCATAAAATTCCTCTATCATTACCAAATCCAAGTCTTTTTATACCCTTTGCTTTTTTATCATTCTAGTCAAGCCTAATCCAATTCCTCCAACAGGCCCACGAATGTACACGAACTAAGATTCCTCCTTAGCACACCACACCCCTCTTCTCTTTTGTCAAAATTAAAGAGGTAGAATCTCCCCCCTTCTCTCTCGTTGCAATTAACCAATAAATAAACTCAATTTAATTATTGCAGATAATTACTTACTCACCCTGAACCTGCTGCACATTCCTTTTATGTTCGTGCGATAATTACAACCCAACCATTGCAAAGTCCAATACGCTTTATAAGACCATGGCACATCCCCCCAAGATCTACATTAACTCCCCTCCTCCCTCCATCACAAAACATACGAGAAAGTTAAAAAGAATCTCTCAAAAGGAAGAGAAAATAATAAAAGTGATATAAAGAGAGAGGAAGAAAAAAAAAGGAAGAAAACAACCTTCAAGATCGAGGAGCTTCAATATTTAGCCCCACTACCAAGAAGAAGGCAAGGTGGTGATCGATAAGGTTCTCCTCCCTCTCTCTCTCTCTCTGGTTAGTATTCCCATCAAATCACCACCAAACTATTGCTTTTAGTTTGATTCTTCCCTTTTTGTTGTCTAGCGTCCAATCTCTTTACGAGTGTGGCCCTATAGATACCCTGCCCCTCTAACAAGGGAAGATACTCAGTTGCTCATCATTTTGAGAGATCTCAGGTATAATGGAGAGAAGAGATAGTAATCATGGTGACGGTGGTGACGGCAACAACAGCAGCAACAACAATGAGGATCATAGGGAGATAAAAGTGATGGAGGTAATCCACAAGGTAGTCCTGCCGCCGCCGAGGAGCACACTGAAGAAGATGAAGATCAAGTTCAAGGAGACTTTCTTTCCCGACGATCCTTTCAGGCATTTTAAAGGAATGCCCCTCAAAACAAAATGGGTTTTTGGGTTTCAGTATTTGTTTCCGATCTTTAGGTGGGCTCCGGCTTATTCATTCTCGCTGTTTAAGTCTGATCTCATTGCCGGCCTCACCATCGCCAGCCTCGCCATTCCTCAGGGCATCAGCTACGCTAACCTCGCCAACCTGCCACCCATCATCGGCCTCTGTAAGAATTCAGCCCTTGCAAATCTCAAATCGTGTATATGCTGCTAATAATTGTGGGTACATGTGTGCTGCTAATAATGGGGCGTACTGGTTTATTTTCTGAAGTTTGTTTCATTATTAAACGCTTCCCATCCTTAATTAGCAGTCTTGTTTTTATTTGCTGGTGCTTGCTTCGAATTTTTTATTCTTTATATTTTCATCATCGATCGGAAAGATGTTTATATGGCGCTGATAGCTAGTGAGATAGAACAAATTTTTGCTTTAAACCCATTCCACCTTTTTATTACCGGAACCGACGGACTTTTTTTTTAAAATAAAATGGGAGTCCGTCGGTTCCGGTAAAAAAGAGTTGAAATGGGTTTAAAACAAAAATTTGTTCTAGTGAGATATCATGTTTGCATGCTAGTTTATTTCATGAGGACTTTTTTCAAAGGTTTTCCTTTCAATTTTTTTATCTCTACGAATCTTAAATCGCATACATGCTGCTAATTATAAGGTGCGCAATTTTTTTTTTTTAAAATATAAATTTCAAAGACCGTGCGTTCTCCTATATATATATACTAATGAGATGTACGAGTACTGATACAGATTCGAGCTTCGTCCCCCCGCTGGTGTATTCAGTCCTCGGCAGCTCAAGGGACTTAGCGGTCGGCCCGACATCAATCGCCTCCCTCATAATGGGCTCCATGCTCCGCCCCCTCGCGAACCCCAACACCGAATCGCACCTCTTCCTCCGGCTCGCCTTAACCTCCACGTTCATCGCCGGGCTCTTCCAGGCCTCACTCGGCATCCTCAGGCTCGGATTCATCATCGACTTCTTGTCAAAGTCGACTCTGATCGGATTCATGGCCGGGGCGGCGATTATAGTGTCACTTCAGCAGCTGAAGGCGCTGCTGGGGATCGTGCATTTTACGAAGCAGATGGGGTTGGTTCAGGTCACGAGCTCGGTGTTCCACCGCACGGATGAGGTGAGTTGGTTTTGTTTGGGTCTGAAGTTAATTAGTAGGACACAAAAAGTACCGAAGCGTTTGTTTGGTTTCGCTTCGCTTAAGTGTGGCTTTGACGCACTCTTGGGTTGATGACGGAACCCACACAGCCACTTGGGTCAAGGCTCAATAATGCGTGTGGGGGCCATGTGTCAGGATTAGGGGAGGAAAAAGAGGGATGGGAGAAATTTACCTGCTCTTGGACAATCTAGATGTGGGGCTCAGGTGACAGGATTAGGATGACCGGTAGAAGGGAGAAGTTATTTGAGTGCAACGAATATGAGAATATCCGGTGGACACCGTCTATTGCAACAACCAAAAAAATAAATAAAAAGCTTCTCAAGGATATCAATAGTTGGATCTGATGCATGAATCATTAAGTTCAATGATCTAAGAGTTAATATTTATTTGGTGCACATTTAATTCTGGAAAAATTCTCCAAGGACCCAAAATATGGGACCAATAGAGGGGACAAGTGAGGCGTTCCCCTCCTATTGGATAATGAGTTGGCCATCATTAATGATGGCCAACTCATTATCCAATAGCCCCCTCCTATTGGATAATGAGTTGGCCATCCCTATTGGATAATGAGTTGGCCATCATTAATGATGGCCAACTCATTATCCAATAGGAGGGGAACACCTCACTTATCCCCTCTATTGGTCCCATATTTTGGGTCTCTGTAGCAAAGCTCTATCATATATGTAAGTACATGGACAATTTGGGAATTCCATTCCCTCTCTACTTGGTATCAGAACCGCCTGTACCATTTTATTTTTATGGGTTGACGTGAACATAATAAATAGGTACCACTACTAGATCAACCCCTTTAAACCCATTTAAACCGACTAATAAACATGCTATGTAATGGAGGGGTTAAAAGGACTTAAGAATTAATTGGATTTACAAAATCTTTCTATTATTTAAGGATAAATTTTAGAAAACCCCCTTAACTTTTGGCATTTATCAAATATCCTCCCTTAACTTTTCAAAATGTCACGAAGCGTTCCTTAAGTTTTGCGGTTCTCAGAAAAACCCCTTCAACTTTCAACAATTTTCTGAAATTGCCACATAAAAGTATGAACCACGATTTTCGCCGGCGAGCACATCTCCCAGCATAATTTTACATGCGAACACTGCGGTTAATGCTTTTAGTGGGGTATCTTGAAACATTGAAAGTTGAAGGTGTTTTCCGAGAACCCCAAAAGTCAAGGGGGTGTGTTTGTGACATTTCAAAAGCTAAGGAGGTTACCAGAGAAATGCCCAAGCTTAAGGAGTTCCTGAAATTTACTCAAAAATAAACTTCAAAGATAAATTTTGTTTTATTTAATATGTGAAGTGACTAAAAAAGGTCTCTCTAAGTACTTTTTTTTTGCCTTTAATATTTTTCATCTTATGTATTCTTGTGAGAGTGAGGCTATTGGTTTTTGGACAGTGGTCATGGCAGACGATACTTATGGGGATCAGCTTCTTAGTCTTTCTTCTGTCGGCCAGACATGTTGTATGTTCCCTTCCCACATGTTCTGCTACTAATTTTTATTTAGTGATTATTATTAGATAATTGCATTTAGTAGTGATCTAAATTTTGAAAACATTCTTATGAAAAAATACTTAAGATAAAAAGTCAACAACATCATCTTTGTGACCTGGCTATTAAATTTATTTCTTCTAGACTAAAACTTTAACAAAGACTTATATATAAAGTTCACATTTTACTAAATCTACAGGCAAATAGTTTTTAATTACCTTTCGCAAACACTACGCTAAGAACGTACAAAATAAAGTTTACATTCAATTCTTTTGTATATTTAAGGAAACTTACAGAAAATAGTGTTCTATGGACGTTAGTTATGGACTTAATTAGAGTATTTCCAATGTTTTATGACATTTTAGAATACTTTTACCCCAGTGTAGAAAAAAGAATTTTGTGTAATAGTTGATAACTCGACCGACCTCATCGATTGGAATGGGGTTTGTTATTGCGACAATGATTGTTTGCACGGATATCCCCGTCCTTTCGAAATTGAAACTGTAATTTTCTAATGCAGAGCATGAAAAAGCCTAAGCTTTTCTGGATATCCGCAGGAGCCCCATTAGCATCTGTCATCATTTCCACACTTCTTGTTTACTTGATAAAAGCTCAGAAAGATGGAATCAGCATTGTGAGTAGCTACTAAAATTGCTACTCTCCAAGTACTTCTTTTTTCTTTTTCCATTTTCTGAATTATATGCTCAAGTTTCTACTCGATGGATGCCTTTGCAGATAGGAAAACTAGAGCGTGGACTAAATCCGCCTTCATGGGACAAATTAATCTTTGAAAGTCCCTACTTAAGCACCGTGCTAAGAACTGGGATTATCACCGGAATTATCTCCCTAACGGTGAGTCGTCGCTAATTTTTGTGTCGCGTTATTCAGTTTAATTTTTATCATTTTGTCAGCATTTATTGTGCGGAGAGTATAGTTGAGTTAAAAGAGAGAGAGAGAGTGTCTTGGGGTAAATTTCTCTTAGATTAAGTATTGAATATGTATACCTATATATATACAAAGAGAGGAGGCATGAGGTGTCCTCTCATAACCAATGTGGGACTTAATCTTATATCAATAGTCCCCCTCAAACTCATGTTGGGTCAAACAAAGTGAGTTTGCGTACAAGAAACTGGAATCGATGAACAGGTAAGGCCTTCGTGAAGAAATCTGCAAGCTCGTCGGCGGATGAGCTAGACATAACCAAGTTGAATTGTCTTGTCCTTGATAACTTGTTGACGAAGAAAATGAGTGTCGATCTTAATGTGTTTGGTCCTCTTATAAAATACTGAATTATTAGCAATCTGGATAGCACTCTTATTATCACAATAGAGAGGAGTAGGAGTCGGAACAAAAATACCCTAAATCACTGAGAAGATGATGAAGATGAATAATTTATTTAGCTGTTGTGGACATTGCACGATACTCTGCTTCGATGCTAAAAAGGGTAACAACATTTTGTTTCTTACTCCGCTAGGAAATAAGGGAATCACCAAGAAAGATACAATAACATGTGGTAGACTTCCTGATAGTTAGACCACTAGCCCAATCAGCATCAAAATATGCACGAAGCTCTAAATCGGATGTAGCAGAATACAGAAGAGAGCGAGTGCTAGTGCCTCAGAGATACCGAAGAATCATAATAAGGTAGCATAGTGTACAGAGTATGGGGCATCAACAAATTAACTAATAATGCCAACAACATGAGAGATAAGTTTAACATTCTGTTGAAGTGGTGTATCGATAGTTGCATTGTCAGTTAGCTCAGCACGAACTAGAATATCTGAGATATACTTTTGTTGAGACAGTAGTACTCCTCGTGGGCCCTGAGAGATTTTTAGACCAAGAAAATAGCAAAGAGATCCAAGATCCTTCATATGGAACTGTTGTTGCAATTTAGATTTTGCGTACTGTATACCAGCAACATCATCACCTATAATGATCATATCATCTACATAAATAAGTAATAAAACTCTGTCGTACGATGTAGTGTGAACAAACAAAAAAACATCTTGATGACTTTCCATAAAGCCCGCTTTGAGTACGAATCGCGAAAACAGTCAAACCAAGCGCGAGGTGCCTGTTTGAGACCATAAACAGTGCGACGAAGAAGACATGCATGTCCTGGAGTAATATTGTACCTTATAGGCGGTTGCTTATACACTGTCTCAGATAAAGAGCCATGGAGAAAGACATTCTTGACATCCATCTGATATACGGGCCAACGATGAGTAGCGATAACTGCAAGGAGAGTACGAATGGTAGACATCTGAGCAACATGAGCAAATATCTCCTCATAATTAATACCCTATTGCTGAGTGAAACCTCGAGCCACTAAACGGGCCTTCCGACGTTCAATGGTGCCATCAGAACGATATTTGACATTATAAACCCATTTACTGCCAACTAGAGAGATGCAGGAGGACAAGGAACAACATCTCATGTGTGTGTTTGTTAAAAGGCCTGAAATTCCTTAGCCATATCTTGTCACCACTCTGCAAATTGAACTGCCTTTAGAAAGAACTTTGGCTCAATGGTAGTATGAATGTCAGTAAAAAATTATGAAAGATAGGTAAATAGGAAGTAACCGAAGCATACCGTTTAGGCATGATATGTGGTCGTTTGCCTCGACGGAGAGCAAGAGGAACCTCAGACGGGGTTGTAGGCTGTCTAAAAATCACTACAGATAGTTTATCCCCATCAGACACCAATAATGGAAGTTACAATCTGACAACTTCCAGAAGGCCATAATTTAAAGACTTTCACGTAGATCGCTGGAGGTTACAATCTGACGACCTTCACGACAACTGATGAAAGCTCTAATTCAACAGCCTTCACAATCAACATCGGGAGTTACAATCTGATGACTCTCATATTTTCAAGGAGCCAAGATGAAGGTTACAAGGTGACGATCTTTGCAACGCTCTAGCAAAAGAGACTACAAATTGACGGTCTCTTCATATTAAAACGAAGATATCTCTCAAACCGTAAGGAATTTGGCAAAACCGACGGAGCAAACCAAACCCTTAGGGGTTGGTTTGGTCGGCTTCGTCTCGTCGAGATAGCCGATTTTCATATATAATTTGTCCAATTCTGACTTACGGTTTGAAAGTTATGACCTGTTCTTCGCAGCAAGTTATGTTCTGAAGTCCGTCTGCAAGACTGGACTTCGTCTGAACATTAGACTTAGCCTGAAGCTCGCCGAGCCCGCCTGAGACTCACCTCTGCATCCAAGATTCGAAACGCAGAGGTCATGCCCGCGTTCTAAACTCAAAACGCAGAGGTCGTGGCTGCGTTCCAAACTCAAAACGCAGAGGTCGTGGCTGCGTTCCAGATTCAAAACGCAAAGGTCGTGCCTGCGTTCCAAACTCAAAATGCAGAGGTCGTGGCTGCGTTCCAAACTCGAAACGCAGAGGCCGTGGCTACGTTCCAGAGTCAAAACGCAGAGTTCGTGGACTCAAAGCGCAGAGTCCATGCAGAACCCAACTCTGCGTCTCAGGTCCAAAACGCAGAGTTCATCTCTGTGTTCCAACTCTGCGTCTCAGGTCTAAAACGTAGAATTCATCTCTGTGTTCCAACTCTGCGTCTCAGGTCTAAAACGCAGAGTTCATCTCTGTGTCCCAACTCTGCGTTTCAGAGTTACAACGCATCGCGGCCTGTGTGTTCAGCCACCCAACATAGGCCCAACTCTGCGTTTTTAGTCTAAAACGCAGAGTTCGGGCCCAGAACGTCATTTTCGGCGTTTGACTCGTTCAAACACGAACCAAACAGTTCCAAGAACCGTTTCCTCCCCATGATTTGAGGGATTTCCGCCCCACTTAGGAGCAGATTAAGGGGGTAGTTACCACCCTTAATCCCCTATAAATACCAAAAAAACTCAATTGAGTTCGGATCCTTCTTTTTTGAGCAGCAAAGAAGAGATATTCGGCTGGCTGGAGCTGGCTCTTTGGGGATCCTTGATCGGGCATCTTGGAGCTTTCTGCAGCAACAAAGTCCTTGGAGCATTCATCCTTGGCTTATAACCGACTTTCGGTTAAATCAACTCTTTTTCAAGAGTTCAAACTCGTTCAGAGTTAAACTCGAGTTGAACTCGATTTGAGTTATCAACTTGTCCAGAGTTTCAAAACATGCTCTGCAAGTCATTCTAAAACTCGCTCTGAGTTATTAACTCGTTAAGAGTTATTTTCAAACTTGCCACGTAAGCTCTCCACAACGTCAAATCGTGAGGAGAAGACCACGTTCCAGTGAATCAAGACGTTCGGATCGTCAACGAAGAGCAAACTCGACATGAGCATTCGAGGAAGGCACTCCATCGCTACCAAGAAGAACCCAGAATTAAATAAAGGGGAGAGTCAAATTCATTCTCCTCTCTTTTGTAATCAGGAAATCCAAATTGTAATCGATTTTGAGAGAATATAAATCAATTTTTCTTTCATTATTTCTTTTACATCGAATTTTTCCACAAACAAAAGATGGTGACTCTGCTGGGGACTAGCTTCTCTGATGAAGAAGTGGTGGCGCAATCCGATGTTCATCTCATTGGAACAACCGTCGAAACTCTCGTGGTAGAGTTTGATCAAGCCAAGTTTGAGGAGGCTATCTCCTCCGGATCCCTTAGCACCAAGGCTATGCGTAAGATCCACAAAGTTTCTAAGGAGACTAAAGCTCCAATTGTGACCGACTCATCAAAGGGCTGTCTTCCCTGGGGGTTGCACTGTTCATACAGTCCCATCTCTGAAAGTCGATCCTCCAACCAACGTGAGCTTCGCGTTCATGAGCCTAAACGCGGCCCTGAGCTTCGTGTTTCCACTTTAGAACACAAGCCTCGTGTTTATGAGCCCAAACATGAACTTCGCGAGAACCAGACTGAACGTGGCCCTCAATGGCGCGTTTTACAGCCAAAACGCGGACCTTAAGGCTTCGTTGAACGCAAACTTCAACTTTGCGTTTCCCAGTCAAAACACGACCCTCGCGTCGACAATGAAGAACGCGACCCTCATGTTGCCAAACCAAAACGCGACCTTCGCGTTTCAGGTGCCAAACGCGACCTTCGCGTCTCAGGTGCCAAACACGACCTTCGTGTCCCAAGTTCCAAATCCAATACAGAACCTGGTATATACCGTGGAGCTTCGTAGCGCGACTAGATTGAGGGGCGGATATAAGAAGTTTATGGATTCAAGGCATCTCAACCAGATCCATATTCACCAAGAGCCAGTCCTGTCCAATCATGGACTTGGGGTTCCAGTTCAAACCTCACGATCAGTGAGTAATTCTCCTCAAATCTTTACAATAGATTTGAGAGAGTTCATATCGAGAGAAAGACCGATGCAGCAAGTCATTCGTTCATTATATCGAGAGAAAGACCGATGCAGCAAGTCATTCGTTCATTCCAATGTGAACGGCTGATTCCTATGGTCATCTCGGGATATCAATGCTGCTCATATGCGGCCAAACCATTGGTGTTCGACCAATTAACGGACGTTGCTTTGTCTAACCAACGACGACGTTCGCACAGGAAGAAATCTCCAGAGACCGAATATCCTGAGGTCACTATCAATGTGATCGGCAGAGGGAAAGCCTCAGGCCCTAGTTCCGATGACTCTGAGACAAGTCGTTCCAATTAACGGACGCACTCGGACGCGAACAGGAGCCATTCCCTCTGTCAACTATCAGAGGTTAGCCAGGGGAACCAATTCCAATGATGAACACTCAGCCATTGTAGAGTCCCAATCATCAAGCTCTTTTGTTGAACATGAGAGCCCCGCTTATATGACGGGAAACCATGAAGATCTCACGAAGAGACTTGATGAGCAGGAGGCCATGATCAAATCTCAGCAAGAGGTCATCGATGAACT